CCATGTCATCACCATTCATATTTATACAATCAATGATTAAATGGAATAGGTAAATCAAAAATCTATATTTCAGTAACGAAAGTAGCGCAGAATATTACATATTTCTATCCTGGATTAAGACGCAAAGTATCTAGAAATGATTAGTGTAGAAATACCTTTGCAGTGAGCATACGGCATGGTGATGACATACTCCTCGTCCCTGCCCAGGAACAGCAGCCTGGCTTTGCCATCCAGAATAGCTGACAGGGAGTTACCTACAACAGCAGGAGGACAGTTGTGCACCAAATCAATACCACAGCCGCTGCAACCCTCAGACCTGGGATTACCACCAAGAGGCTCTCACAGTGAAGATGGCTAGCTAGCAGCTAGCACTGTTAACAGTGCTGACGGAGCTAACGTTGTTACGCCGGGGAGGATCCGCCGGGGAGGCATTAAGCCGGGACAGTGTTGCCAACGGTAACCGCCATTTGAGCCCAATGCAATACCATGATGGGCATCCAATGACGTTCTCTATTGGTGTGACTTGCAGGGTACTGGTATTGTCCCTTTTTTAAAAATGATACAAAGCCCAACCAATGAGCAGATTGCTGTGGCGTTGCAGTACTTTTATTGCATGTGCATTGGTTACATTGGTCAAACAGATTACATATTGTAGTATGCTGCGTACCATAGAACTTGGATTTGGCCAGGATGCTCCCGCTGATTGAAAAGCCATCCTTCCTATTGCAGACATAAAAGGCAGAGATGGGCGGATGATGGGACACCTGCAAGGGGAGAGAGAGACATTTGAGCAGCAGTGTGAGAAAAAGAGGTATCAGATACCCTAGCATGTATTCATTTTAGACCCTCTGCTTTTCACAGGTTTGTGCTCTGTGAAGCTACCAATCTGCTTTCACCTGTTCGGCTATGTAGAAAGTGCAGCTGTCGGTTTGGGGATGAAGCCAGCAGCAGCGAAACGTTTCCCCCAAGATTGGGTTGTAAGGCTTCTTCAGACCCTGGAAAGTGCAAACACATACAATTATTTTAGTATCAAAGGAAGAATCTTCTGGCACAAGGACACTTAACCGATTACCAACTAATTACCGACCAATTACATGGCAGATAATCACTGGATCCAAAAGATTAGTTGAGTCCTAAATAATGCCACCAATTGTCTGGACTCAATAGTTATGCAGGAGATTAGCGTACAACATTGCATGAAGAAAGTCCTATAGATTCCTCGTAATGATCACTTTCCAACTTTAAACCCATCTATCTCCCGTGAGCTCCATCAAAGTTTTTCTGCACAAAAAGGGTTGAGAAAGACGTTAGCGGCCGGCTTCCTAACGAGTGAAATCAAGTGTCTCCCGATGTTTTCAGTGCAGCAATCGACCCAGATCAGAAATGCTGTTTCAAGAGAATTTCATATCAGAAGGATGTGAGACCAACTGAGGCAGCGAGAAAATAAATACTAAAATTAAGAGACCATTTCCCAGTGCTCCCAAAACTTAAATTATTCTTATATTATTCTTTATTTATTCTTTTTATTCTTAGATTATTCCTATTAATTCAATTGAAAAATAGGTCTACCATATAATTTTATTTTAACTGATAAATGGTCTGAATTTTAATGTGAAAAACACTTTGAAGAAAGGTAATTGTGCGATAATCTAATTGTGCCAATCTATCATCTTTAAAAACTCTCCACCACAAAAAACAGGGGCTGAATCCTGAAAGCAAGGTTGTCCTGTATTGAGGCAAATAGGACAGGAAAAGGTCAGACAGTACAATATGAAGTAGTCTTACCTTGGGCTTCTTGTAGAAGCCAGACAAGTACCATCTCAACACCTGCTTGATCCGACCATATCCACTCTCCTCCAGTACAGCCCTGTGGCAGGAAAGATGCACACGGACACAATTACCATATGAAAAAATCAGACGGATAGTGAATGCAGGATTCATCTGGTTCCATGTGAACCGAACATGTACCAGACTGTTACATAGCACTGTCTAGGTTTGGTTCCCCATACGGCCAACAGAAGACGCAGAACAATGAAATACAAAATACTTATTCACTGTTAACTGTAGTAATTGCTCCATTAAGAATCGGTTAGTTATTGTTGCAGTGCAAATTCCCCCCTTCTTAGAACTGCCATTTATTTCCCAGGGAGACGGAATGACTGCGACATGACTTCTTAAAAGTAACAACCTTTACAGCATCGGCTTTAAGGAACACAAGGCTCTACCACATGAAAAATTAAACTTTCCTAACATTACTGAGTGTGAAACTGCCAGTCCGATTTACATTTTGAATCAAATGCACCCTTGACGGATCTTTCCGGTGCCCTTTCAAAAGTCAGAATACAGTGACTTTAAATACTGACTGCGAGAGTAGATCAGCGTGGTAGTAGTAGTCGGACAGCTTGTCCAGGAAAGAGCGGGGCTCCAGGATGAAGGTGGGCAGCACCACCTTGGACAGGTCCATGCCCGGCCGCAGCTGCTTCAGCAGGCTCCAGATCAGCCCCTTGTTCTCCTCTGACACGGTCTCCACCTGGGACGCCTCGCCGGACTGAAGCAACACAGAATTGAGTGCAAGCGGATTAGCGCAGCCTCTGGTTACATTGACGGCTCTCTGGTCAGAGATTGCAAAAATGTGCAAAGAGAAAATGACACGTTATGTTTTTCAGGTTAGAGAATGACACATTATGCGTCGGTATGTTTCAGAATGAGGAAACTAGGTGCATAAGTACTGTCAATGTGAAAGCGGCGACTCGCCTCAGCCATCTCCTCTGTGCTTTGCTCCACATAGGCTGTGGCCTGTGGGCCTGTGGACAGCTCGTCTGATTGGTCCATGTCGCTCTCCTCCGTCAGCCGTCCGCTGTTCTCATTGGTCGCGGTGTCCCAGTCATCGTGAGCCTCGCGCTCCGATTTGTCTGAAAAGCCGTCCTGCTCCATGTGGTGATTGCCCAGCAGCACACTGTCATTTAACCTGGTAACGGATAGGAGAAGCCCGTGGTTAGCATGTTGATGAGCATCCCTGATATCAAACCGCTTGCTAAAGTGTGTCCAGCTTACAAACCTTTTCTGGAAATAATGTAGTAAATTACAGAAAATGAAGAATCAAAGGAGCCAATTAGGTAGATTGTTTGTAAAATATGGAGAACTATGCGCTGGTGTTTGACAGGTTGCGTATAAATAGATTTGAATAGGTATCATAACTAGCTTTTAGTTAGTCATTACTGACCGATTAATAAATTAAGGGTAACCTTAGGAAGTTTTAATGATTCTTATTGGCCATTCAAGCCAAGTAATGTCACATGACATTACAAAGCATGTTATTGGGTTTCACTTCACTGCTGCCAAAGCTTTGTTGATTGCTTCACCACCGAGGCAACCTTTAAACGGCTCACGCAGAGCAGAGATGTCGGAGGAACACTGAAATTACCTACACAAACTCACCGAGGCTCCGAATGTCCTTTGAGAATAAAATCTCCTCCTCCCGACTATGATGTGTAAGGCTACTGCGTCAGAGCCCCCATCACTGTAGAAATCTGACTGACCTGGATGTATTTAGCTAATATGACCCGTCTAGTTGCCAAGACAACCCCAACACACCTCACCAGATCACACCATCTCATCCTTTTTCCATCCCCCCATTTACTGGCTTTGAATGCGACGTGCAAAAAACTCCTGGTAAACAAACAGGGTTTACCTAAAGCACATGCACAAACACACACAAACGCACAAACACAAACACAAACACACACACAAAGTTGAAAATCCATTATTTTCTCAATGTAGGTCTAATCGAACCCAGAAGGCAGGTCTGCTGCAACGACCAAATCAAAGTACCAAAAAGAAGAGAAGGGAAACACAGTGAAGAAAGTCCTTCACCAGTTTATAGAGAGCCAGAAGACAGGAAAAACAGGAGGGAGAAGAGGAAGTGGGGGAGGGGAAAGTTGATAATAAGCTAATAGGGAACACCGTGGATCTAATGCTTCAACTGCTGTTCAAGTCAAACAGTGGGTGTTTGTGCACTGTGGTGGGTGCACGCGTCAAAGAACAAATTCAAAGGGACTCATAAGCAGACAAGGAGAAAAAGGTTTTACGGCAGATATTTCACAGAACCTCCACACGTTTAATCCCAACAAATACCGGAGTCAGATGAAGGGACACGTAGTGTGTCTCCGCCTATCAAACTGCGTTCAGCTATGGATTTCGGAGCTCAGAAAACCACTCAACAGCTTATTTGCCCAAACCACAATGGAAGGGAGTTTGGTTTTTCAAAATGCCCGAGGGCTCGACGGACGAGCGCAGTCACATTCTCGCGCACTCTGTGGATCACTACCCAACTGCAAACGTTATTTATTAACCCAAACACGCCTTGGTGCGGAGGCTGCTTTCCTTACCTCAAAAGACACGCAGCGTAGAGAAAAACCTCCTCAGGAAACAAAACACCAACGATGATTTCAGCAGTGTTTCACAACGTCTGTCCTCCTCTCCTCTGAGGGTGACTAAAAGAGGTGCAGTTTTGTTCCCTTGTCTCTGGTACACCTGCTTCCTGCAAGTGTATGTGTGTGTGTGTGTGTGTGTGGGGGGGGGGGTCTGTGTGGCAATGTGTCGGTATGCGTGTGTGGCTCTCATTCTACTTCATCTTCCTGCTCCTCTGTCAGTCATGTGATTGTGGGGGCGGCTGTGACTGGCTGGGAGATACACAGGAGAGGAGGGAGAGCTGGGATGGATGGCCAGATGGAGGGTACAGCCATAGAGAAGGGGAGGGGATGTCTAATGTCGAAGGCAAAACAGCCGACAAACAACAACGTGCACTTTCAACAGGGGATGCAAATAACTGGAATAGATTTGGAATGGGGTAAAAAGGGTTTGACAAAAGGCAAACAAGGTTGCATTGTGTGAGATGCATGTAGTGGTAAAATATATTATAACATTGTTTTGTGCTAAGGCCGTGTCTCAGGTGTCCTGTATTTGACCCTGATGTGCAAAGAGCAGCATGATACAAAATGTTGCTTTGCAGCTGTGTCCTGAGAAGGGAGGACGGTCAACTCAAGCTCCTGTAAATTTGGGGGCTCGTCCGGGATGAGAGGTTTTCCTTCAAAGGCGAATTTGATCCAAAGCGCTTACACCTGCTGAACGCGACGTACTCCCAAGTCGGCCTCAAAACAAGGTAAGCAGAAACCAGTTACATCTAATTCTGTATATTGAATACGCTAAAGTAAGGAGTATGTTGTGGATTGGTGGTGTACGAGCCAAATTAATACTTGAGCAATTCTCTAAAAAGAAAAAAGAAAAGAATAAAAAATTACATCGATGGGATGAACACCGCCGAGTGTTGGTTTGCGTGCCGCCGGGTGCGGGAAAAGTACTGCAGTGCTTAAGGTCTGGAATCCAAAAAAGAAGTGATTACTGTTGTTTAGTGGGTACCTGCGAGTACCAAGGGATCAAGTATCCGTCATAAATCAAAGGAATCGAACGGCGCTGAAGTTTGGCAATAGAGAAATTAACTATGGTTTAGTGGATACCGCTGGGTATCGAGGGATCCAAAAATCCGACATAAATTAGGGGAATTGATTCGGAGTCAATATCCTGGTCTCTGGTTTGGCAACCCCCTCAGACTCTGACGAGGGCTGATTTTGCTAGGTGTGGTGTCCTGGGGATCTGGGGACCCCCGAAAAACTGGTCTCGGTTTTGGCAACCCCCCTCAGGACCCTGACGAGGGCTGAGTCCGCTAGGTACAGGCGCCTGGGAACTGGGGACCCCCAAAGCTCTGCGGGCTGGTCACCCAGGGTTAGAGTTCCTTAGAAAAACCGTACGTTCGATTCCGAGACACGTGCAGCCCTTAGAGAGGTGCTGGGATACAGTAAAAATACACAGCGCGCTTTGGAGTGTGGAGGGGGAGAGAGAGGAGTGATTAAATAAATAAATAAATGTGTTGAGAAATGCACTTAAAGAAATAAAAGTTTTGGAAGTACGTTCTAAGGAATTGAGAACGCAGACAGACCGCAAGGTTAAAACATAAACTTGCGGTTTTAATAATTGAGTCTTAGAGGTTAACATAAACTCACAGACGCATTGACTCCGAAAGGTTAGTATAAACTTTCGGCATTAATTCATTCTGCGAGACTAACATAAGCTCGCGGACACAATTTCCACACATTTTCTCTGAAAGGTTAGTATAAACTTTCAGAACATAGCTGTCTGCTCCGGTAAAATACATACGACCTGATTGACTGCTGTTAAATGGAAGGTAAATTTGGTAAAAAAATTTGGTAAATTTGGACGGCGGCTGGGAGCCAGCGCCGGGGTATGGATGGAAAATAATAAATGACCAACTGAGGATGTGTTGGTGGCGGTGAGTGGAGATACCACTGAGAAAAGAAACATGATGTTGTGGATCACACGGGACACGCGGTGAGAAAGGCGTTGGTTTGGTAGATAGAGCGTCACTGACGCACATATTGTGGGAGAAGGGAGACTAGAGATTATAGACTGCTGAGAGTGTCAGCTGAAATTAGACTTAAAACCGTGGGGAAGATTGCTAAAAAAAAAAAGAGGTAAACAGTCATTGAAAATTTAGAGAAATAAGGACAATTGTTGTATATAGTTTCCGTTTTTTGTATTAATGTTTGTAGTTTTTTGAGTCTTTTCCTAAACTCAGAGAGAGGCTGTAAATTGTTGAGTGCTGCTTATTGAGTGTATAGTGCACGATACACTTGATACAGTATCTTGATGATGGAAGCAAATGTCTGATCAAAGGAACATTGATAGCACCAGTACACAAAATATGCAAACTTGTTAGACGGTCATCCTGTAATGGTTCAACAAGTAGTACACCTTTACGTTTGGATACGAAAACCATGAGAGGTTGGTGATCTATCAGTGATGAATGAATGGATTGGATCAAACTAAGCATGAGCTGAGTTTGTATCTGCAAGTTACAGACATGTCTCCCACCCTCCACTGTGCTTTTGGGCTGAAGAGCAGTAAAAGTGGAGATTAACACTGAAGTGGAGGTCTGGAACAGATGGGTCTGATGCTAAGTTGATGTATTATCTGCTGGTACTTTTTGGGATCAAGGGACTCAAGGGACACAATATTCATTGTTGTTTTAGGACCCACAAGTGTTTAGAGAACTTTTTGTTTATATCACTGGAGTTTGAGGTTCAAATTCTGATACATTGTTTGAAGCTGTAGGGTTTAGTGACTGATAATGCAAATGCTCGTCCACTTGTGAAAGTAGTTACGAAGGTCAGCAAATTGACTGTAATGATGGAGGCCTTCAGTGAGGCCATCGGATGGTTTATTTTGATGGGAAAGGAATGGGGAGGTAAGCAAAACGGGAAAAAAAAAAAAGTCGAAATGTTATGAGAGACACATGCAGGTGTTTGAAAGTATGACCAAGGGCAAGTGGAAGTGTAGAGATGGAAAAAGAGTTTGAAGAGTTATGCAGTAATGCACAGGGTTTTTAAAGGCGATCACACATCATGAGAGAAGCATAAACAGGCTGGAGGTAAAAGGAGAAGAAATTGACTGAGGGCGAGAATGTGAGGTAATATTTTTGTGTAATCTTGGTATGAGCAGATCTATTACTTCGAGGTTAGAATGAACAAAGAAAACTTGGTTGGTCAATTAGTTGATGAAGACATGGAACAGTCATACAACACCATGAGGGTGAGACCCACAAGCAAAAACTCAAAGAGATCATTGAACGGGGACATTAAGGCAATACTGGTGTTAATTTTTCCTGATTTGACTATGGGGGTCAACAATCAGTTATGTCGGAGATTTCAATTTTTATAAATGAATTGCTCATCAAATCGGTTGGAAACAAGGCCGTTTGAGAAAGGCAATTTTTTTTAAAACAATGGGTAAATACTCGGGGCAGATGAAGATATGCAGAGGCATTCTTTACATCAATGCATTGCATGTTTCATTCAGCTGAGGCTCTAATCCAAAGTGACTTTCAGTAAGTGAATTTGAAAAGGAGGGAGAGACAGATTCTCAATCAAAAGCCTGCAGCTGCAGAGCCATTTTTAAGCTCTCCAAGCTATTACTACAGTTTTGATTTAAAAATAGTAGAATTGTAGACATGCATTGAAGAAAGAAAAAGAAGATTTAAAGTCTTTAAAGCGACAACGGCTAAAATAAGCGTAATAAATCTCTGTTGAAGCAGTGAGGGTTTTATGGGAGTAAAAAGGTCACAGCAGTGAGAAGATGTGGGAGCAACGGTGGAAGCCAATAAGGCTGGACAAAGGTTTTATACCTCCTCACTTTAAGAAGCACACCCACACGCTGTTGAATAAAGTTAATCCTGAGTGCCATCATTTAGTGATAATTAGGTTTATGCATCTTTCTTGAATACCATGATATATATAGAATAAAGAGGATGAATGGTCCTTTTGCTTTTCAGTTTAGAAGAATAAGCTCATAATTACTGGGCTGTCAAAGGTCGGCCAAAAACCTTTACATGAACAAGAGGATTGTAGAGGGGATTTTATGAAATCAACTACCAGGTTGATAAGATATTGCAACTTTTAGTTTCGCTTTACATTACATTACATTACAGGTCATTTAGCAGACGCTTTTATCCAAAGCGACTTACGTTACACTTTAAACCCATGGCTTTTTTCACATTTTTGCCCGGGTAGCAATTAGGAGTTAGGTGTCTTGCTCAGGGACACTTCAACATGGAACATGGGGCAGTCTGGAATCGAACCACCAACCTTGTGCTTCCCAGCACACATTCTCTAACCCCTGCGCCACGACGACCCAGTCAACCCTGCCTTTTAAAGTGTAACACTTGAATCAAGGATTTAAAATATGATGAAAAATTATTAGAACAAATAGACTTTTTTTTTTGGGAGGGGAAAAACACTGCGCGCTTATTAGGACGAATGTAAGGAAACATGGGTGAAACACACAGGTCATCACCCAGGCACTGCGGGAGTGCACAGGGAATGGTTTAGACAGGCGGTACTGGAGGGCGTACCAGAGAGTGTGAAAGCCAAAATGATCACTAACCCAGACCTGCCAGGTAGTGACTCTGCTGTGTGGGAGAGAAATTTGCTACACCATTTACAAGACACGACAGAAGAAGCGACAGGGGAAGATAAACCACCAAAGTAAGACAGGAAGTGAGCGACAAGAAGCAGAAAGGGAAAGACGAGCGACAGATGGTTGCACAGGCTGCCCCAGCTGGAGGTAACGTCCCTGATTTGTATCCACTCCCACCATGGGAGGAGACGTTGTATGGGACAGCCCGAGGGTGGGGTTACAGGGGAGGCTATGGAGGTAACTGCTGGGGAGGAGCGCGTTGAGGAGGTCCATACACAGGGGGAGGAGGAAGAGGCGGACGCAGATGGGGAAGAGGTTGTTTCCACTGTGGTATGGAGGGGCACCAGGTTAAGGAGTGTCCTAGTAAAGTAAGACAGGGTAGGGGTAGAGGTGTCCCACCCCAAGAAGCATGGGCTCCCAACGCACATGCTGCACCGCCCCCTAGAGGACAGTACCCCACACTGGAGGACTGGGGCTATGAGGCAGATGCCTCTCAGTGACACACCTCCGGGAGAGACCCGGACAGCAGGGGCAGGGCAGACCCCATGCTGTCACTCACGGTACTACAACAACAACTGCCGTTGTCGTTGCCGTTGCCACTGGGGCCACATACTCCACCATACCGGCAGTGGGCTCGTCTGCTATGTCCGGAGATAGCGTCAGCGTTGTGGGGTTCTCCAGGGTGTCACAGAAACTGCCTCTAGCAGTCCCCCTACTGGTGAAAGTAGGAAATCAGACATTGACTCATTCTTTTGTTATTTCGCCTCAAGTTCCAGTGAATCTTATTGGAAGGGATCTTCTTAAGACGGGGGCTTCGATCTTGTGCAGCCCAGACGGACTAAGCGTCACCATGATGGATGGAACGGTTCTGCATTGCAATGACAATGGACAAACGAAAGGTCAGTGGGTGGTGCAGCCACTGCAGCAACAACAACAATATGCAGACATTTATTGAGGCCTCTTGAAGCCTGAGTGTCCTGAAGGGGTTATGACTCTTTACCAAAAGTGGAAGCCTTGGATAACTCTTCTTGATCCGTATGTTCCTCCTCCAGATCCTCCTCCTGTAGCATTGTTTTATGATAGACAAGGGGATGAGTGCTATTGTGACGAATTCCTGGAATATTTAGAAAACACTGAATGGGAGGTGACGTCCCAAAATCTCTATGTGGGCCCAGAAAGGGTAGCCCCAGCTGTCATCCTCTCCTCCGATCAATCAAAATGGTATTTAATGAATCAAGATGCAGTGCCGCATGTGTCGTTGGCTTTGCATCCCAAACATCAGGCTAAAGACCTAGGTCTAATGACGAAACAGGCGATGCTGCTAGACGACTGGGAATGCACTCAACTGCCTGATGTTTGTTTTTCTCCCTCCGCTAAAATGTACAGGATTACAGGGAAAGCAACTAACTCTGTTATTGTAACACACGAACAGGTGTCCAGAGACCACGGACGCGAAAAGACCGACCATCCCTGCACAGCAACCCTTCTTGAGAAACTTCCAGACTACCTCTGGTCAGAAGGTCCGACTGACGTAGGTTTTTGTAATGCATGTAAACCAGTGACATCTGAAGTTCATGACGGTCCTCCCATTTGGCAAACCCCAATACCCTCACAAGCCAGCCGCTGAAGAAGGGATCAAAGAAACTATCGAGGGCCTCATCAAATCAGGTGTATTGGAGCCCTCATTCTTCCTGTAGAAAAGACAGGGACTGGTAAATATCGCATGGCACATGACCTCAGAAAGATAAATGACAGACTGGTAACCACTACAGTACCTGTCCCAAACCCGTACACTGTATTGACTAGTCTGACACCACAACAGCAATGGTTCACTTGCATTGATTTGGCGAACGCGTGAACAGAGGTTCTGGGAGCAGAAAAACTTCAGGGAAGTCAGTCAGCTCAAAGAGCTGAGGTACTCGCATTGATAAGAGCATTACAGCTGGGAAGGCAGTGAACATCCATACTGACTTGGCGTATGCAGTAGGAGCAGCTCACGTGGAGCTGGGACAGTGGTTAAGAGCAGGTTTTCTGACGGCTGGAGGAAAACCGATTAACAGGAACAAGAAATTAAAAATTTGGCGGCAGCCTTGGCTCTACCGAGCACCGTGGCTATTATTAAGTGCAAAGGACACGAGAACTCCAACAGTATGGTGGCCAAGGGAAACCAGGCAGCAGACCAAGCTGCAAAACAGGCTGCAGGTTACCAAATTGGATCCAAATGGTAAGTGCAGAAGATGAGGGACAGTTGGGGCCACAACTTAATGAGGAACGAATTAAGGAAGCCCAAAAGGGGGCGTCTCCTCAGGAGAACACGGTGTGGAAGCAAAGAGGGGCTACCGAGGTTGGAGGCCTCTGGAGGTCCCCTGATGGTCGCCCAGTAATGCCGCCGGGCATCAGAAACAAGTGTTTACAGGAGGTACATGGGATGGCTCATGTGGGGCTGAAACACGCGTTTGGTACAGTATATCATCCACAATCTCAAGGCAAAGTAGAACGCATGAACCAAAACTTGAAACAAAAATTGGCTAAAATTTCTGCATAGACAAATTTAACCTGGGTTCAAGCCCTCCCATTCGCGTTAATGGCCATTAGAAGCTCAGTAAATCAAGGTACAGGTTTCAACCCGTACGAACTGACCACCGGGACACAGTTCCCTGGACCCAGTACCGGCCTGAAGCTTAGGCCCAACCCGGAAGCTGCCGGAAGAGTATGCATGTCGTATAACGATCTACGAGCTCTTGTTTCAGATTTTGCAGACCAGGTGCGAGACAAAACAGGGGATCAGAACACCCACAACCCCCACACGGAAGCCTGGGTCTTCCTGAGGGTCATTAAGATAAAGTGGTCGGAGCCGCGGTGGACAGGACCATACCAGGTGGAGGAGAGAACCTCACATGCAGCGAGGCTGAGAGGGAAAGGTGATACCAGTGGTGGTACCACTGGAGCCAGTGTGCCACTGCAGAGGAACCAGCTCGCACTCTCCAGGACGTCCTGAAAGATCAGGAGCAAGAGGCGGCAACGGGCACCGGAGGGTCCCTAAACGCACTCTCAACGGGCAGTTGACCGACAGACACCCAGAGCATGGTGATCTGTGTCGACTGTCTACAACCAAGAAGACCAAGAATAAGTGTATAACTATCCTCTCCTCTGTTCTATCTTTCTCAATTCTCCGCATTAGTTTAGCAAAAAAAAGACAAGAACAAGACACAATCCTGTTATCGGCCTGGAAAGGAGGCAAGATGAGGGGGCTGATCCAGCTGACGTCCTCCAGTAGCTGGGGTGATCTCTGAAGAGATCAAAAGGGGGAATTGTGAGATGCATGTAGTTGTAAGATATGTTATAACATTGTTTTGTGCTAAAGCCGTGTCTCAAGTGTCCTGTATTTGACCCTGATGTGCAAAGAGCAGCATGATACAAAATGTTGCTTTGCAGCTGTGTCCTGAGAAGGGAGAGCGGTCAACTCAAGCTCATAGACGCTTCAAAACAAAGGACTTCTGTTCATGGCCTTGGTTCATATCTTATTCGGTACGAAAGTTTTGGATCCATATTTTTTACTTTATGTCAATTAATTATGATTTGCACCGGCCACTGAGGAGGATCTTGTGTGTGTGTGTGTGCTACCCTCAGCTTCACCTGGGTTCTTATCTCAACCTGCTTTGCAGCTTCTCGTAGCTGGCACGGAGAATGTCTTTCACATTTGTATAAAAACTCAGCGTTTTTACTGCTCGGAGACGTCATTACACCGAGTGCTGAGATACGTGCTGGTGTGTTGGACCTCCTGCTTGCAAGCAATAGTTAGAGCCAGATATCTGCGGAGAATTGCTCATGTAATCTTTTTCTCTTCTAAATAAATGTTAACTTTTTGACTTTAATTGATCAACGTGCTGCGATTCTTCTCATCAACCAACTCGGGGGGATTGGGAATCCTGACAATTGCAATTCTTGGTTTGGCCGATAGTTACAAAGCTTTTTTGTCACACCGGTCTCTCCTTATCTAATTTGTATGGTTACTGGCCACTGGCCACCACCTATGGGTGTGAGCTGCTTTGCAGATTAAATGCTGAGGATTAAACCTTTATTCTTTATGTCAATGTTTAGGAAACTATTTCAGTGTGTAAACAATACAATAGCTGGCTTATAGGGGTCAAAAAACCCTCATACAACATAAATCCCTGTTTGGAATGCATTTATATCCTGCTTGTATAATCAATACGCTAACGTCCTATGAAGCAGATTTCCAACCAGTTTTACAAAGTGCTAATTTATCCACTCGATGAAGCCTAAATAATGGGAGTTGTCCGACCGGTCAAAGCGCTGCACCCTACATGTCAGTACCTGAACACACACACATGCGCACACAAACACACAAGCACCGCACCGCTGTGCGCACACACGTACCCACACACACACAGGGGTCAGTATCTTGCTGAAGCACATTTTGAAATGTGGACGGGAGGAGTCCGAGAGCCACCCAATCCCGTGAAGAGGCACAAACGTCACACCATGCTGCCTTTGTTCCAATGCGCCCTGGTAATTATAGGCCACACTTTTATCAAATATGACACCATAAAATGAACAGCTCATTTCTCTTAAGATCCTCTCCCTCTCTATTTTTGCATCACACATATCCAGTACACACACACACAAGCTTCACTAATTACACACAATAGAACAGAGGCTAATTTTAGCAAAAGCATTCTAAATTTAGATTTATTTTTCAAATGCTTATGCTCATCAAAGGTCCAACGCTGGTTAGCAACTAGTTGTCAAGGCATGCATATGATTACAAATTGCAGGATCACCTATTTTGCCTTTACATTGATTTAGAAAGATAATAAGGAAATAAATCATGTTTTCGTAATGAAGACCAATTTTTCCTGGGGATGATGTCGAAATTCTGAAGGAAGGCTCCAAAAAGCCGCTCCATCCTAATATCGCATCAGACCCACTAACCCATGTGTAGCTATTAAATGTAATGTCCAATGTGGATAGACGTGTGCTGCATAGTGTTTGAATGCATAGAAAGTTTTATTATTATTTATTAACCGCACAACAACTTGGGGTTTAATTACAGGAGACACAAATCATCCATTGACAAGTCGGATGGATGTATACTTATGTCTGAGGCACTTCAGTGTTCATAAGTGTACTCACTGTTGCAGCTCTGCATCAGTGAGCGCAGTAGACTGCAGCAGGTGCAGCAGATGGGTGGACTCTGAAGATGTGCATATATCTCCCTCTTTGGCGCCTTTGACTGTTAGCTTGTAGAGACTGGAGCAGCTGAGAGCCAGCTCCAAGGCATCCATCCAGCACCTCCCTGGAGACGGGAACATTTTAGCGACCAAGTAGGAGCGCATTCAATAAATTGCGTTTGTGAAATTGAATAATGAAAAAATGTCACAATGTGCATCTCCAACCAAAACAACAAGACATACGCCTCACCGTCAGACTCAGAAGCTGCTCTAAAGATCAGGGAGTTGCTGGGTAGAGGCTGCGTGATGGAGCCAACGTTCTCTCCCTTGGGACCCTGAGCATGCAGATGAAACAATGAGTCACCCCTAATGCCATTTGTGTCAGGTTGCACCAAACAGAAGAGAAATGCTCCCTGAAGTGCACCAAACAGTATGATTATCACTTCAAAACGATTGTGTGAAAATAACAGCAATGACAAAAATACACTTGTTTAGCTCTTAGTGGGTCACGCTCTGACGAGCAGTGTGAAAAACTGAACTTTGGAGCCATGTTGATCATGTGTTTAAAAAAATAAATAAATGCCAGCGAGCCTGCAAACATGTCTGACCTTGAAAGCCCAGATGGATTTGTCCAGAGGGTGATAGAGCTTGAAGCAGAAGCCGTCCTTCTTGGAGGGTCTCTCGATCAGCTTGCACGCGCTGAGCAGGATGGTGCCCACCCAGTGGTCCGCCTTGGGGGTCTTATAGATCAAAAGAACCCCGGGCTTCAGAGCACACCACAGCTTGGTCCAACCCTTTAAAGAGCCACGGATCTAAAAGGAGTCCAAGCGATGACATAGAAAGAAATTTTAGTAAGGGACAATCATGGCAGGATGTTTGTGTGATCTATATTCCACTACTTATCTGGGGACAGGTGACGTTATTTTCATTATTATAATAAAAGGGAACTAAAGGACTGACGTACAGGATGCAAAAAAGGCCAAACCCTTAAAACGGTTCCACAGATATTTGTAACAAGAAGTGCTCAAATTACAGCCAAGAGGATAACCAGCAAAACGATAAATCACGGATGACACAGAGTGTGAATAGTGCACCTCTGCAGATATCATGGTTCTATGTCAATATAGTAGCTCTGTCTAATGAAGATCCCCACACCTTTAGCCAGTTGGACATGATGACGACACTCGGATCCTTTAGTGCACTAAATAGTTCTTTGGCCGCCCGCTTCTTTTCTTGCCTGTAATTCTGCTTTTGGAGCTGTGAAACGGAAAAAAACAACACATGAATGAGTCATCAGTCTTACTGGTAAGGTACACTAGATGGTAGTAGAGTTAACCAGTTGCCTTACGAGCACGCTGTTGTCTTTGGTAAATTATTAACATGAATCACTGTGGATCATTTGAAAAAAAAAAAACATACACATTTAAAATACTACTAAAATACTAAGAGCTAAATCACGTGCACTTCATGACACCTCCAATCGCACAATAAGGCTTGGCATTTTTGCACAACTGTCCCGGGGAAGGAAGTGATGTGTACCTTTAGAGACTCCTTACGGGCCAGCTTCTCTGTGGGGGAGGGGCACTCCTTCTCAACACCATTAAACATCCTGGACTCCGACTGAAAGGAGGAGAGGAGGCATTCAGCGAGGATGAATAATACAGACAGAGAGATTTGAATAAACTAACGCCTTTAAATATCGAATCCTCAGTGGGGATTTTGTTTGCCAAATCTATTAGTATCATTTATAATTTTACAGCATTCAAAAAAAAAATCATATGGGACGATATGATCAACTGTAATGACGCAGTCCTTTCAGACAAACAATTTACAGTTCACTATCAACACTGGCTC